GGCTACGGAAGTGAAAAGGATTCAATGAAATATTTACGAGATGGCGCGGTAATCTCTCTTCGTCTTCTACAAACGTACGTACGAACGACCCTACGAGTGTTAAGTAAGCGAGCATGTAGGGAATCCCAGCTGGTGAATTATTAAGATTTCTCCCCTTGCCTTGACGAAGGTGTTCATGGCTGAGGCTTAACAAAAGGATAGCGAAAACAATGAATGCATGCTTTTCGCGATATGCGCAAACTCTGCGAGTATTTACGCATTGGAATGTACAATGCTGGCTATATAACTCTTCCCTGATCGATTTCGCGAGCGTAAAGGCTGCCCCAGACCAACGCGGTAAGTTCGCAACATCCACGCGGTAAATAGACAAGCTCAAACTAGCGCGATTTGACTGCGATATATACTGATTGAGAAAAAAAGGTAAACACCTACGTATGTTTATCCGATTTTAATATTTTTTGGCATATATACTAAGTGACATATAAACCGGAACACCCAGTTTAAATGGTTTTATTTTAATAAAATTTTGTATAAGTACTTAATGAAGCATAATAAGTAAATGATAAAAAATTCAAAATGATTGCACTGCTTTAAAGCCCTTTGACCTTTAATAATGTGTGGATGCACCCTGATGTGCTACGCATTCTCCAACGTGCCTAGGCATGGTTCTGATCAGGTGATCAATGTCCTCCTGTGGTATCTCATTCCAGGCAACCACCAACTCCTCTCGAAGTGCTTCTAGAGTCTGAGGAGGACGTTGCAAATTGAGCAATCTCCTACCCATCATATCCCACACGTGCTCAATTGGGGATAAGTCGGGAGATCTTGGTGGCCATGGTAACAATGTGACATCATGTGGTCGGGCATAATCTTGTTGGAAAGTTGGATCTGCCAGGGTGTCAAGATAGGGTAAAAGATGGGGTTCTAGAACTTCGTGGATATAACGCTGCGCGTTCATGTTACCTCTGATGAAGATTAAAGGTGACCTGACACCATAAGCTATAGCACCCCAAACCATAACTCCAACAGTGTAATGAACATGTCTTTCAACAAAAAACTGTGGATTCCTCCTTTCACCACGTCGCCTTCTAACCCTGGCACGACCATCGTGCATGCCTAAACAAAATCGAGACTCGTCACTAAAGACAATACTGTTCCATTCCTGATCCCAGAGTGACCGTTGTCTGCACCACTCAAGGCGATTACGTCAGTGTTCTCGAGTTAAAGGGAGGACCCATTGTGGCCGGTATGAAAACAAGCCAAAACTTCTCATTCGTCGGTAAACACTTCGCATGCCAATAGATCTTCCGTGTTCTGCAAACCATTCATTTTCAATGGACCTGGTAGTGGAGAAACGGTCCCTTAAGTCCAATAATCTTAGGCGGCGATCTTCATGGTCTGTTGTTCTACGGCGGCGTCCAGTGCCCCTTGCTCTTTGCGTACGGCCTTCTCGAAACCATGCCTGATAACACCTAACCACAGTGTCTACACTTCTTTGCACTCTAACTGCAATTGCCCAAAAAGAAAGTCCAGCTTCCCGAAGTCCCACTATACGGCCCCTATCAAACTCACTAAGTTGACGAAATCGTACAGGTCTCCGTACTCTAGGCATCGTTGATTCTTTACTGCGGCTGAAATATTCATTTTTAGAGCGTTAGTGAATTAAGAAAAAAGCAGTATAAAAACCGGAATGTCCAACTGATAAGGCTGAAAATTTTTTCACTTGTTATTTACAGTAAGATAAATATGTATATTCACCAACTTTTATTAAAATCAAAACCATTTAAACTGGGTGTTCGGATTTATATGTCACTTAGTATATCTTTTGTAATCACAAAAATCTTTATTAGAATCCTGAATTAATATAATTAATAACAAATTGTTTTCGTACAAAGATGCCCCCTTGGATCATTTTCTACATTTTGACAAGCTCCAAGTTCAGGTTCTGTAGGGTCTGTTTCACTAGCTTGATCTATTTGATTTTTATGTTATCCACGTTCCTAGCTCCCTTTTTTCCTCGATCGGCTAACTTGTACCGAAGATACTTTATGAACAGGTTACAGCAATTTCTTTATTTTTGCTTGCGTGTACAATAACCCTCTCACATCGCTTTCATATACAGGGTGGACAACTGAGAATGCGAAGTACTGTATCTGGGAACCTATCCATCGTAGAGGCTTGCTATTACTAAAACGGCAAGAGAAAAACTTGGAAAACATTTTGAAGTTTCTGAAACAGTCGCCAGGGGGCGTAACTGCAATACTGAATTTAAAAAAGTGATGTTTCTGACTTTTCCGCTATATTAGCCTAGCAAAAATACATTATCTTTAAAGTCTATGATATTTGGAACTTTTTTTGATTGACAATTTTTGCTGTATCTTTAAAAATAGAGTGGTGGGGGGTATTCAAATCTTTCCGTAAGAAACACTCTGTATCTTCGAAACGGCTAAGCCGATTTTAACACACTTGGGCTGGTTGAAAAGAGCTATTCTTGGGTTACAAATGTTATAATATATGAAGTTTTGTTAGTTTCACACGTGGCCGCTAGAGGGATTTTACGACATTCCGACAGAAATGGTTATTTTTCACATCGAAAGAAATTTATGGACCACACGGCATGGCCTCAAAATCACTCAACTTATTCCACAATACTTGATGAACACATACTAATCCTCTTCTGACACGAAACTGTACTAAACTAATGTTGAAAAGAATTTGTCTACATATTTTTGTCCCTCATAAAAAAGTGCTTATATTCAGACTTGTATTGTGTTCATTGCAGATAATGTAAAAACAAGGAATTTAGTTTTTCTACGAATAACGCATTTGTTTATGGAGCAATGAAGTATGAATTCGTTTTCATATTTGTCTATTACTGTATATCATATTGATACAAGTTCATTCAATAAGTTTGGAACCATCTGTGTTGGTTATTTAAAATAGCTTTGACCAATTTATAGGGATATAATTCTACATACTCGATTCATAGAAAATTTATAATTGCTATGTTTTCTTTGGCCTAACCTGTGTTTGCTCAAATACCAAATCAATAACAATGATTCGTTACTGTTCTCAGAGTTATTTCGGATAGAGAAGTAATACAGCTGTTCCGCATGAAGCGTTCCGTTTGGTATACAGCTTTTATGCCCAACAGACGTAGGTGCAGGAATGATTGATATAAGCAGAATCAATAGCACGTTTTCTATTAAAACAACATATACTAAGTGACATATAAATCCGAACAGCCAGTTTAAATGGTTTTATTTTAATAACAGTTGGTGAATGTATTTATCTTACTGTAAATAACAAGTGAAAACATTTTCAGCCTTATCAGTTGGACATTCCGGTTTTTATACCGCTTTTTTTTAATTCACTAACGCTCTAAAAATGAATATTTCAGCCGCAGTAAAGAATCAATGTTGGCGGATTTTGGTTCTTGACATCCTTTACGATCGGTTACGATGCCTAGAGTACGGAGACCTGTACGATTTCGTCAGCTTAGTGAGTTTGGTAGGGGCCGTATAGTGGGACTTCGGGAAGCTGGACTTTCTTATCGGGCAATTGCAGTTAGAGTGCAAAGAAGTGGTTAGGTGTTGTCAGGCATGGCTTCGAGAAGGCCGTACGCAAAGAGCAAGGGGCACTTGACGCCGCCGTAGAACAACAGACCGTGAAGATCGCCGCCTAAGATTATTGGCCTTAAGGGACCGTTTCTCCACTACCAGGTCCATTGCAAATGAATGGTTTGCAGAACACGGAAGACCTATTGGCATGCGAAGTGTTTACCGACGAATGAGAAGTTTTGGCTTGTTTTCATACCGGCCACACTGGGTCCTCCCTTTAACTCGAGAACACCGGCGTAATCGCCTTGAGTGGTGCAGACAACGGTCACTCTGGGATCAGGAATGGAACAGTATTGTCTTTAGTGACGAGTCTCGATTTTGTTTAGGCATGCACGATGGTCGTGCCAGGGTTAGAAGGCGACGTGGTGAAAGGAGGAATCCACAGTTTTTTGTTGAAAGACATGTTCATCACACTGTTGGAGTTATGGTTTGGGGTGCTATAGCTTATGGTTCCAGGTCACCATTAATCTTCATCAAAGGTAACATGAACGCGCAGCGTTATATCCACGAAGTTCTAGAACCCCATCTTTTACCCTATCTTGACACCCTGGAAGATCCAACTTTCCAACAGGATAATGCCCGACCACATGTTGCAAGAGTCACAATAGACTTCTTTCAACATAATGATGTCACATTGTTACCATGGCCACCAAGATCTCCCAACTTATCCCCAATTGAGCACGTGTGGGATATGATGGGTAGGAGATTGCTCAATTTGCAACGTCCTCCTCAGACTCTAGAAGCACTTCGAGAGGAGTTGGTGGTTGCCTGGAATGAGATACCACAGGAGGACATTGACCACCTGATCAGAAGCATGCCTAGGCGCGTTGGAGAATGCGTAGCACATCAGGGTGCATCCACACATTATTAAAGGTCAAAGGGCTTTAAAGCAGTGCAATCATTTTGAAATTTTTATCATTTACTTATTATGCTTCATTAAGTACTTATACAAAATTTTATTAAAATAAAACCATTTAAACTGGGTGTTCGGATTTATATGTCACTTAGTATAGTAAACAATGAACGCACGCTAGGCCGTACCGCTATCACCAGTGGTCAAATTCAAACTTAAGTATAACAATGCTTACGCGTCGAGCACGATAGCGGTGGCGCGTACAAGTTGTAACCTGTTGAAACCTGCGTGATCTACATTAGCGAAGACTGTCAAATACGTATGTATGTAGTACATATTCAAAGACATGTCGGATTACAGGGAGCGCCGGATTAGACAGGAGCCGGATTATCGGGGGTCCACTGTATTAGTTTTCCTTTCTTGTTGCAGGTTTTTACGGAGGATGTTCGCGCGCGTCCCTCTCCGTCTCCGAGGCCCAGCCTGCCGTTTGATTGGTGCCGCTTGACCGGTAGCCCCGCCCACTCGAAATGAAGACTAGCAACGGAGGCGGTGACAGCTCGATAGGGCGGTTTTCGCGCAGTAGTTCGACGCGCAGCGCGCGCAAAGTCGTCACTCTGCCGAAATCTTCGTATTCGACGCCCGCCGCGGCAAACATGACCCCGGCACCGAGGAGTCCTTCGCTGAATTGTCCGCCATCGCCTAAGGGGAGCCCGAAGGTGGGACCGATCGGAAGTCCAAAGGTAAGTTTTGATGGTGCGCTTCCTATATATATAGTTTGCTTCGGCGGACTAGTTCGATAAGTCGAGTGTACGTAAGCGAGATAGTTCATAGAAGAACGCCTCGTTTCATCGCAGCTGAGCAGCGTCAGACCGAGTATGATTTAGTTTTAACTTTCTATGCCAAAATTGTTCGAGACAAATTTGTATAAAAAAATAAAAATTTAAGGTATTTCTTTTTATTTGCTTTGGGCTAAAGTTTAGGTTACGAACAAAATATCGAGATGCGTTTTATGCGATTCTTTTTAGACATCATTTAGCTGATGATTTTTACACCTGTTTAAAATATGTTGTGAGCCACCAGAATTGAGTCTGCGAGCTACCGGTAGCTCGCGATCGACGGCTTTTCGACCACTGCTTCAAAATATCTCCGTCTATTTTTAGAACCCCATGTATACAGTATATTCAGATAAGAGATAGACCGGACATAAACAAGACCACGTGATCATCGAACGCTGTAACATTCGGCAGTGACGTATTAAGAGTCACGCAGTACATATTTTAGATAGTAGATGCTGCTTTGCGTAACTTTGTAGTAAATTAGCACAATTCGATGTGTATACGATTGGTGATGGATATAGGATCATGTGGGGGTGGGGTAAGAAATATATATTGATGTAAATATACATAAGGGTTTCAAAATTTTCGCTTCGATTTCCAGCTTCGGATGCCGCCTGATGTTTGGTGAAATACAGTCGAACATAATCTCAAAATGGCGTTTAAATTAGCCTAAATTAAAAATAATCGTATATCTCTTAAAATTGCTTTTAGAATATTGATTAGTATATTTTTTGATTTCTAGGTAAATATGTAACCAAATTAAAACGTTCAAAACGTAAAAAATGTGCATGGTTGAACATTGTCAGAAAGTAGATTCTTGAATAGGTTTTGCCAAAATGGGTTCAAAAATGTCAATAATTAATTAAAAAATACAGTAGCTTTATAATTACTTATAACTTACCGAATTTGATGAACGACATCTTTTATTGGAAAGATGAGCTTGATGACCTTTCATCATCGCTACTGCCTGAAGCACCAACGTCAATAATGAATGGCGCGACTTGTTCCTCTAAAATATTGTCCAGTTCCCACATTCTCTTTTCAACTTTGTCTTTCACGTGCTTAATACAGTTTTCCCATTTTTGCGCTGTTATTAATTCTAGTGCTTCTTTGAAAAGTCCTTTGAGGTCACAAAATTTAAAAGTTGTATTGTGCTTAGCTATATAATTTTTAACCTCTGCCCATATGAGCTCAATGGGATTGAGCTCGCAATGGTATGGAGGTAAACGGAGCACAGTTTTATTTTGACTTGCTGCCATTTCGTCAATGGCGTATTTTTGATATTCCGCCTTGTGATCCTTGACAATTCTTAATAATTGTACTTTCAGCATTGCTTCTTCAAAGTTGATATTTTTCGAGCGGAGCCAATTTTGAACATCAACTTTCCTTGAAGCCGTTGTTGGGACCTTCTCCATTCTTCGAGAATGATAAGGCGCATTATCCAACACAATTACTGCGTTTTCCTCTAAGTTCGGTAAAATTTTTGAAAACCACTGTTCAAACGATTCGCCATTCATTTCCTCGTGGTAATCTCCAGTTTTCTTAGACTCAAAGCACCACAGACCGTCAACAACAAATCCATCCTCACTGCCAATATGGCAGATAATGAGCCTTTTCCCTTTACCTGGAAATCGAAGTACTAACTGGTGTAGATTTATTTCAATAAGCGAACCTTTTTCAAATGTTTTCATCACATTCAGCGAAAAAACATTGAGACATGAGTATCAGATTGCTATAATTGGGATTATTTAGTCATATTGAAAGAAAGAATATTGAACGTCGTATGATTACTCAGCGCTTCACAATTTAATTTAAAGTTATAAACCTTTAAAAAATGAATGATCAGGAACCTGAAATACGCGCAAATATTAATATTAAAAAATTATAACTTTATAATGCTTAAAGTATGAATTAAAATGATTAGAAATATTAGGAACGGTACACAATATAAAACTTAGTAACTTTTTTTAAGTTTATAATATTCGACATATTTTAAGATTATATTAAAAAATTATTGAAATATCGAAAACACATAAAAACATGGCTTAAAAAAGTTCTAACAAATGAAAATGACAATAAAACATACACGCATTTTATCGAAAGTTATAAAAGTTTTGTTACTTGTAATATGTTTTATCTGCCCCCTGGAATTAATGTTTAGAACTTGTTCCCAAGGTTTGAAAAACATCCGATTGTTGTCTATTACTCGTATTTACCTGCTGGATTTTTAATCCGGTGGACAGTCCATCTAGAAAGGCCCTCCTGGATGAAGTTACAGAATCATCAACCCATACTTTACTTGTAGTGTGTCCTGCGTTTACCCACGTTTCATCAAGGTAATAAATCTTCCTGTTTTGATTTCTATATTTCCCAATTTTTGTTAAATAATACCTCCTCCATAGCACAATTTCTTCTCTATCCAGTAGTAAACTATTACGACCCCGTTTTTTCCATTTGAAATTTAAATGCTTCAGTAACGCATGGCAAGTTGATCGTTTGAAATTTGGCAACGTTGTATCTCCATTTACCTCCTGCAGTACTTTATCTATAGTAGGTATTTCATTCCTAAAGAAGAATTCATGCACTTTTCTCCTAATCGCATGCTTATCAGCTTCATCCAATGATTTAACAATATTTTTGCGATGTTTACTGGTCATTGGCTCAGAAAAGGTGTGATTTTTTTGTATTGTCTTAACACATTAAACACTGATGCGCGACACACCCCAACTTTGTGAGAAACCTTCACAACAATTTCTTTGATGGTTGATGCCTCGTTCTCCTCGCGCTCGATCTTATATATATTCAAAATGACCTCTTTCATTTCTGCACTCAGGTGTCTTTTTTTAGAGCATTTCCTAGGTGGACTACAGGAGTTTACAACTTCATCGGCAGTATCTGTACTACTGGGCATTTTGCGCAAGCAGTTGATAACAATAACAATCAATAACAAGGTATAACAATAACAACGACAAACTCAACAACTTAATAAGATAACAAACGAAAACGTCCAAAGAAATATCAAATTGCAATGATGCACACGACATACGTAACACGTCTGAACCTGAATGTGACTCTGCCTTGATACGACTGCTCTGCCGCTCGGCATAGGCATTTAATTGCGAATTGACCAATGAGGGCTCCTGTTTTACGTCGAGACGGCGGCGTTAGCGTGAAAATCACCCGAACCTTTGTTTACATCCGGTCTATCTCTTATCTGAATATACTGTAGTTTGATATGCACCTTCAATACTATGTGTACGTATCTCGGTACACAAGACGACGCTCGCCTGTACTCTTCTGCGCTATTAATTTCTGAATCACCCCGTGTTACGATGGATTTGCAATAAAATGAAGATAGATAAAACGTGGATAAAAGCAGGAGCTCATACATTCTTGTGCCAACATGAAACGAGCACTGATGTTGACGGGTAGTTTTATTGAAGCTCATATTAGAGAGAGGTAATTAAAGGAGCGCGGATACGGACGAATAAAAGGGTCATTATCTAAGGCCATTGAAACAATATAGTACTCTAATCTAGGTTGGAATAAAAGAGAATTTCGCATTGAGACGCTAAACGGTACAACCCGCCATTTTTAACTCCCACAAAAGTTTTTTATAAGATCACAGACCGACGTCCAATGTCCCAAAAAACTGAGAGTTCTTTTTTTTTCAAACGCATACCCTCTAACATTATTTGAACAATGTCAAAAGAATTGTAAATAAAGTTTTAAGTACCTAGAACCAGAGACTGACAAGCTGCTAGAATTTTATCGACATGAATTCACCAAAGAAGTTGCTAGAGATGACTATCGACAATTAATAATACTCTCAATAATATTCCTTGGTGGAGATACAGAGAAAAATCTGTTCATTAAAAATAGCGTTTCCAGCTCAAATTTTCTAATAAGGATAACGCAGCTCTTTCGACATCTGCCCGTGAAAACGTGAAACCCTGACTGCAATGCACTTTAGCGGTAAAATCACCTAACCAGGATTTATGCTTTTTAAACGCGATGAAGGCTTACGAAACAATTGACAAAAGCGTTTCAAGAGCAGCTTTACAAAAGTCTTGCCAACATTTATGGTATCTGACAGATGAGGTCTTTGTGTTATCTCTGTTTGACGACGATGTAGATAAGGAAACTAAAGCAAAAATTGTTGCTAAAAGAAAGTTATATCGGCTCACGGTAAATTTTACATCTCAGCGAAAGAATGACCGACTTTATAGTCTGACGAATAAATTTTCGTTTCTGACCTTTTACTGCTTTACTGATTCGATATAATATGCTAACTGTTAAAATAAGCCAGCATAAGTTGCGGTTCTTTCGATAGATGGCACATTATACTGTCTTGTTTCGATAGCTCTTATGTTTCAATGATAAATATAAGATACAAATAAAGCAACGTTTTCCTATTAATTTCACTGATCAACAGCCAAAAAATATCCTAAATAAAATCAACAAAACATTACTATTTTTAATGTGCTAAAACCGGAATGAAACTTATTTTTTTAATATTAGTTTTAGAGATACGGTAATTATATGTGTTCCTGCTGTGACAGTGTTAATGTACTGTAATTCACAAGAATGCACGTGCTACATTTTTATATTCGGCAAGGAAAGATGATGTAATCGGCATGATTGTGTTACGTTATACATACGTGTACATTATATTGTTTTATATTAGCCATTTTTTTCCTCAGTTGGCTGACAGCGTTCATGCAAGATGTCTCGAAAGTGTGTAAACAATCCAGATCAGTTTTGTTACGTGTGTGGTGATGTGACTTTTGCGTCTCAGAGACGGTCTATTACTCCACTAATAACAAAGGCATATCAGCTTTATTTCGGTTGTAAACTAGGTGATCAAGACAAACAGTGGGCACCCCACATCTGCTGTAATACAT